GTTGAATTCCCGGAAAGTTATAGTTGAATCTGTGAACTGTGTTTTACATGAATATCTTATTTAACTTTATCAGATTTATTAAAACGGCTCATCCTGAAATATGTATCTTGTCATGTTTAGCCTCCCTTGTATTCTTAACGAAGCAGAATGGGCTTGAGATCACCATGCTTTTTGTACACTCCCTCTCAGGGCTTGAACCAGTTCACTGTTTCTCACGATACTTCTTATGGGCATTATGCTTTTAGAGACTATTCTAACGCCAATATGACCGGCAGGCGAACTTGTGAGGTGGGAGCCGCAGTAATGGCAGTCGTGGTATCATATGTGGTAATGTCTCGTAAAACCTTAAGGCGTTTTTTACAGAAATTAAGGAGGAACTTTGCGCCTGTTCAAAAAATGCAGTTTATTTTCTGTTTGAAAGCAATAACAAATGAACTGTTGGAGCTAGGCATGCAAAATTTTTTTACAGAGACACACATCGGAAGTTTACACGTAAAATATTTAATATATTTCTTTTTAGTCAACACATACAGACATTGCAGAGGTGCAAAAAATTCGAGGTTTTGAGCGACATATTTAACGTGTGCAGAATCTGTACTTAAACACTTTTCTTAAAAGAAAATAAACTGCTGGAAACTCTTTGTGAAATGAGCGCCCCCTCAGCACCACGAGTTGAATTGTGGAGCCCCTCGTTACGTCATTAGCNCCTTGGGTGGGGTGAGACTGAGTCCACTTGGTACGTCGGTCACAGTTTGGCCTATTGTACCAGCCACGTACGATAGATGACTATGGAGCATTTGCTGGAATGAGAATTGGCAGGGGAAACCGGAAGCCACTTGCCGAGCTTTCCCCAGTGCCACTTTGTCCACAAATCCCACATGACCTGACGTGGGATCGAACCCGGGCAGCCGGCGACTAACCGCTTGAGCTTTGGCACGGACGTGCTGGAATAGTAACCTGAGAGCGTCCACAGCCTCCCCTTTTCAACCGTGTCTTTCTTTTTCGTTTGAATCACGACTTATGATATGGATAGCTGATTACATGACTTAGTTGGAAAGGCATTGAATGTACCAAGAATTAATCCGTCTCTGTCGAGGCGTTACTACTGCAAACTGAAGTTTGAATCTGGATATTCTGTAAACCAGTAATGCTTCGAGATTACTGGGTTTTTGGACCTTGCCCATCGTCTGTTATTCTTAAGAACTTAGAACTTTTCTGTTGGGTCCGTCCTGGATATAGTGAAACACTGACTTATGTTGCTGAGTCTTTCTTGAGAAGCTAACAGCCGCTCAGCTACACAAGAATGCCCTACATTTTATTGACCCCGAAGATTCATTATCTTCCCAGTCCTGAGCAAGATTATTCTAATCCATACTACCACATCCTGTCTTTCTAACATCCGTTTTAATTCTTCCACATGCATCTAGTTCCTCCTACTTGTCTTCTTCCCTCTGGTTTTTCCACCAAAAGTTTGTATGCATTCCTCTTATCTCACATGCGTGTTACATGTCTTGCCCACCTCGTCCTCTGTGACCAGATTGTTCAAACTGTATTTGGGAAAGGTTACAACTCCTTACACCTTGGCATATTAGGCCACCTGGTCTATTCCCATCAGAATTAATCTGAAACTGTGGTTCTTATAGACAGTTGGTAGGACTCTTGGACGGGGATCAGCCCTATCGCAATGCCGCTAACTTCACAGGACGACACGAAACCAGAATAAACGCGGACAGACATCCTTGCCTCAAATGGGATTCGAACCGACGATCCAAGTGTTTGAGCTGGCCATTGTGACCAGAAGCGTACAAATTATGAAGCAGTTTTCGGCCGACCCTGAAGACGGAGTCGATATATTCGTACGATACGTCCGATTCTCTCCGAACTACGCAGCGTAGACCGAGCGCTTCAGAAATCATCCCCTTAAAGCTGTGCGGTTCTCGTGGATGTGGGTCATAAATTGGGGCGGTTGTCACGTCCCTCTCTTGCGGCGTGGTGTGTTGGCCGGTACACAGGCATATGGCGCTCTGCCAGAGAAGAGATATTGTGAGAAGGAAAGGAGAGCCGGAACAGAAGACACAATTGTCCGAGATTGTTTGGGATTTCGCAGAGGTCATTGGTTCGTGCTGCTGGCGCGGCCGATCAGCAGTGCAGACAGAGGCTTCGTGGTAAACGTGTCTGAAATGTGAGGCCAGCGTTTCAGAGGAGCCTGATGCCTGGAGCTCACCCTGAACATGGGAGGCAGAAGGTTTCACCGAAACGTTGATACATACCTACTAGACTACATGGTGTTACATCGCAGAGGACTAATTTTCCTAATGACCTCCGGGAGATGCTAAAATCTCGCTTGTTTCTAATAAAAAAATCGGTGAATTTGATAACATGGAGTTATAACGCAGTCGGTATAGCGATCTGCTGGCTGGACGGCTGGGGCTCCTGCTCCAGCCTCCTGTCCAGTGTGTGTCATGGGGTAAAGCGGCTGGGGCATGAGGCAGATCATCTCCATCTAGTGCCGATGTCAAGAGTGGTGGAGTTCTGTCTCCACTCCTCCACCCATCTTCATAGCACAATACTTCAGTAATTAAACAGAAATAGCTTTACATTTTACCCAGCCTCCTATGCAGTGGGTACCGGGCGTAAAGTGGCAGGGGCGTGAAGCTGACCACTCACCTCCATCTAGTGCCTAGGTCGAGAAGGATGGAGCTATACCTGCACTCCCCCATGTACCACTGTGCTTTAAAGCAGGGCTGGGCAGGAAGTCGAGAGTGGACTGCCCGTGCATGGCAGAACAGTAATATTTGTGTTATAAAAGTTTCCGAAGTTCGTTTCTGGAATATGATGAACAGCCGAAAGTGCCGAGATGTCACAGTAGTGGCCGCATGTCAGCCTAGTCAGATTGCCACGCAGGCGGTCACTTAGACTTGTGCACTGAGATCAGCAACTTTAATGGACTTGATGCAGTCACGTGGTGGAGTGACGATAGATTGATAATCGGATTTATTGGAATCTTTGATACAGCGCTTGACTACCCTTTACGTCTTCACTGACGTTACTAGGTAGCGGCTTTCAACGGCGTACGTTCCCCTTCCTCCGAATTCCGGAACTGTCTCCTGCCTCAGGTACCAGCTTCTCACAGCAGCAGTTAACGACCACTGAACCTCAGCAGGTCTCTGTCTGAAATCACTCACCAACCAATTCACTCCACTCCACTGGCTCTCCGCTCAACTTAACTCTCCTGCTTATAACACTTCGGCAGTTACCGCACAGAAAACACCGTTCGTCTGTTGATGTTTAGTTATTTCCGTGTGGTGGCATGACTTATTCCATTGTTGCGTGTGCAGCCATCGGCACGGACCGCGCAGAAAACACCATCCCTTTGTTGCGGTTTACGAGCCGTTGCCTAGCAACGGGTCTCCATGCCACAATATTAATTAAACATTTGAACGTGTTTCTGTGGTGGGATTGCGGCAGGATGGACGAACGGTTCGTTATAGTTGTGATTCCTTTCTCCACAGCGTTAAAATGGTTTTAGGGTCCACCCAGCCATCCCATGCAATGGGTGCCGGGTGTTCCGCGGGAATAAGTGGGAACACGAAGTAAACCATTCACCTCCATCTAATGCCAGGGTTAAAATATTGCCACGACAGGAAATTATGAGTTCCGGATTAGACGGAGCTGTTTACTGGATAAGTCGTTTACAATTGCAATTACAGTCACTCAGAAGTAACGTGTTCCAGACAATGCCACCTGGCTAGTCTGTCGTCTTCTGGTTGTTAGCGGAGCTGGTTTTGTTCTGCTCTCAGCCCTGCTTCGTTCGCGTCTGTTCTGTTTGGCCTGTTATATTCGTCAGTCGGACGGCCTAGAAGACACCTTGTTCAAGGGTTCCGTTTCGTGTGTTCTGTGCACCGGGAGCTAATGTATTCGTTGCCATGGGAACCGCACTAGTTCTGGTTGTCATTTCCATGGTAACAACTTTTATGTATGCTTTGTCGCTTGAACATGTTTGTCACCCAGACAACGATGCAGAACCGTGGATACCGAGCCGTTGCCTAACAATGGACGCCCGCTCTGACTGATATTCTGGCTTTTAGGTGGCACCCCACAATATTTGCTACTGCCTTGTGTGCTTTCTTGGCGTGGTGCTTAATGAAATAAGCACAGGGATAACTTGTCTTTGAATACATATTAGTACATAAGTTCTGTTTTATATATGCTGTGAGTGTTGGAATTTAACATTGGTAAAGTTTTATATCATGTATAAGTTGGTGTGGAGCCGGGATAACTCGGTTTTTGGTGGCATGAGATTTTTCTCTGCTTCACAACGTCCACACAGTCTCGGGCCCAGCTACTCTCCTGTGCAGTAGGTACCTGGGAGTCGGGGGCTGTTTCCCCATAGGGTAAAGCAGTTGTGGCATTAAGCTGACTACTCCATCGAGTTCCGAGGTGAATAACCCCCTGATTTTGTGCCTCTACTCCTCCATACGTCTTTATGGCGTACTGCATTATTAATTATGGACACAGACAACTTTACCTTTACGTTTTTCGAAGTTGGTTTAAATTTTGAAATAAAAAAATAGTGTTTGGACTTCAAGTTTGACCTGATTTATGAATCCTGCGTTTTACAGGTTATCATTGTGTGCTATATGAAATGTGGCCGAGTTATGGACGACTAGGACTCAGCAGAACTTGCCCTTCAAGTGTCTGCCGAGCCCTGCTTTAGAGTGTTGATGCAACACGCTCGCCTTCCGCTCGTTTTGCCTATTCTTTATCATCTGCATTTCTCTTACGATGCCTTTGTGTGTTAATCGTGATTTCAGAAGGTTAGAGAAAAATACCGCCTCCTCCACGCCACCCTCGCAGGTTTCTTCCGCAAGGGACGCTGTGAATGATCGATTGTAGTGGAGCTCGCTTGCTCGGGTCCTGGAAGCTAGCGAGCGTGCGAGTGGGAAGCAGGCTGGGTGTGTAACGCCAGTGTCTTGTGAACCAGCCCGCGGTGATGTCGCGCCAAATGCCTCTCTGCTTTTTATCCATGTTTTGATGTCATTAGCGGTTGTGTTTTATCCGCCGTGAAAGTGTTGTGTGATACTTGTTCAGCGTTCATTCATATTGTTAGTTCATTTTGTGTTATATAACTTGATGAGGTTTGTGGTGATATTCTGATCTGCGACTCTCTGGGTGTCTGTGGTACTTGCTTGAAAATTAAAACAAAATGTTATGATTTTAAATTGACTTCGGTCTGCTTTGAGGTTTCTGGTGCTGTAGGATGTCATTCAACCTTCTTGTATTAAAGTCTGTCCATGTAACAGGCCGTGGAGACCCATAGGGTTGTGAGACGTCGAGGCTCCCACATTTCTAGAAAATCGGTTCACGGATGGCGGTGAGGTTGCCAGCCTTACGCGCCGGCCGCCCTTTACCCTCAGGAAGATTCCCGATACTCATTTCTGTTAGAGACTGAGTCGAACCCAGGGCCATAGTCCGGTTGAAAGGATTAGATCAATTGAAGAATCCAGTGGCGTCGGAAATCGAACTCAGGACATTCCGACTTGTAGTATAGTGCCTCAACCAACTACGCTGCCGCGTACTCTGTATGAAAGTCTGTAGCGATATTACTTGTTTGATATTGGAACATTTACTGTCTCCTGGAATGTAACACGATGTAGTTTAGCAGATGTTAACCGACGTTCCGGATGGTAGAAGAGTATGTAGAATGTGGAAAGGAAGTGATACCTGTACACGGAGACGGACGGCGGGGGCATGCTTTCCACCCACGGGTTCGTCCACAACTACTCGTAGTATTTCTCCCGTGTCACACTCAACTCCATAAAATCTCCTTATAAGCGCCAGGCATTCTTCTGCCCTTATCATTCAGGTTGTTTCGATCTGCGCTCCTATCCTGGCCACCCTTCTGCCTCTATCGAGACCAATTTCTTGCACAGTTCGCTCTTCTACCCTGAAGATGGAGACAACACCGTTCCCGAAACGTCTGTAAAATCTGCCATAGTACACAGACCGCTCCGCGAGTTCCTGAGATCTGTCTTAGGCTCTTATGATATGATTAACTTTTTTTATGGGGACGGTAACAGTATTTTGGGCGTGATGTAGCCTGCGCTGTACTGTATGAACTAGCTTGTTATTATTGTATTGGCGCTACTTTAAAGTAATATTTGCTATCTTCCACTGTGCTGGCGTTCCTTCTTGCTAGAACATTTTCTCTAGTTAAAAACTGTATAATGACGTACTTCCGCCCCTTATTGAGAGTAACCCTCCCCACATTTCGTGTCGAATCAAGCAATCCATGATCGTCTTCAATAACGGGGCGAGTTGCATGTTCGGCCAGACATCAGATCCACTCGCTTACGTTCAGTCATTTGTCATTTGATGTACATAGACGAGTCGTTTCTGTGGGATTTCTTTTCGATTTTGGCGCACCCACAAGGAAAGGTTACGAAGACTGCTTGTGTTCACTTCGCCTGTCTCGTTAATGACTCAGTTTGCCTGGGGTTCACTTACAGCCGCTGAGGATGCTGCTGAGTGATGTCCTGTAGAGGAGGTGTGGAAACAACCGTCCGTTGTCCTGTAAGTTGCATAGAATGACTGAGGAAAACCATGAAAAGTAGGGTTAGTCGGTTTCCCGGCCGAGATTTGATCTAAACACTTAATTAATACAGGACAGGACCGCCCCTGTGGTCTAGTGGTCAGAGCTCCTTCCTACAGATCAGAGGTCCCGGGTTCGATTCCCGGCGCTACCAGATTTTCTGAGAAGTAGTGAGTCTAGAACGGGGTCCACTCAGCCTCGTGAGGATAATTCAGGAGTTATTTCAAGGAAATGGCGATCCCGGTCTGGAAGACCGAGATTAACGGCCGTGGGGATCCGTAGCGCTGATCACACGACACCCACTGTCCGCTGAAAGTTGGTACTAACTTCGCCGACATGAGGCGGTCACGCGGTCGGTATAGTTCGCTTGCGGACTACAGGCAACGGCGTTTTTTTTTTCAGAAGTGTTGAGCCAGGTTTCTCTCTACCAAAACAAACACGAGAACCGCTAATGAAATTTTCACGAAATATGAAATTGGATATTTTTACCAATATTTGTCGACGTTTCCAGCTTTGGTCGAAAGTAGGCAGCAGTATGTAACTGACACGTTACATGAGGACGTCAAATGGAACAAGTTGGTCTAGAGGTAACGCTTTGAACTTGTGTTCGGGAGGGGCGCGGTTCAAGTCTCGGCTTGAACACCGGCTCTCACGTCACGGTTTCCTTCCAGATCGCTTCCAATTCGTCATTCGTCTATCTTGTCATCCGACCCTTTGTTGTACTTGTTATGAGGGCGTCTTTAAAATAAGACATGCAAGCGTTTTTTCTCCGCGTTTCAATCCAAATATTTATGGTAGCGAAAACGGTTTATAATAAACGTCGTAGGGAAACACGAAACGCACGTTTCATATAAAAATGCACGTTCTCCATCAGTCTTACTATTTTAGAGGTAATTAAATATATATCGGAGAATGAATCATCATTACCAAGTGCGCAGACTTGGTAACATTGTAAGTTACTCAGCATAAATTAAATTTCGCTACAAATTACGTACAATTTGGTTCTTGAACAATAAAGCCGAAATACTGACTGAATTTTTTGCCAGCGTCTTGAATGTATCAGGGAATGTTTGAATGTTCAACCCAGCCTCCTCCCTCCCTCGGCCGTGATATGCGGTGATACGCACGTTGTAACATCGTGAGCACGGTGCTGATGAAATTCTTTATTCCCGTGCGACAGTAATTTCCAGTAACGCACTCCGCGCAGGTAGGGATGGATTTCTCCCTCGGCGTAGTTTCACGCCGAAGACAAAAAAGTCAATGAAAAATCTCTTACACTTCATGTATGAACCAAAAATAATTACCCCGGACAGTTTTCTTACCTGTGTCCGATATTTTGAAGAGTTTTTTTCTCTTGGGTTATGTCACCTACCTACCTTCCACTCGGCGCTACAGCCCTGGGTGGGCCTTGGCCTCCACAACCAGTGCGTGCTGCCAGAGGAATGGATCCACGCGTGATACCCCGAGGCTGGCTGTTAGGTTTCTGAACAAAATACTTTCTACAGGATGATGCTGTTAGCCTCATGCCCAACCCCCAACCTGGAGGACCAGGGTATATCTCTTAGTCTGGACTGCACCCTTTGACCTTTCCGACACGGGTGACCCTACTGGTAGTTAAACTACCGCCGGCATAGCTCTCCAGGTCACAGAGTCACGCAAGCCCCACCACCACAAGGTGGAGACACCACTGAGGGTTATAGCACCGTGTAGTCCGTTGAAAATTAACTGACGTGTCGGAAGAACATGTCGCCACCGTCATCAGGCTCGGAGTATAAACCAAGCAAGAAACAAGCTCTGTTTCTACTTGCTTCACGCTGTTTTTTTTTTTGCTTGGTTTATTCTTCCCTGAAGATGGAGGCGACGTGTTCCTGAAAAGCATCGGTTGACTCTCAACGGATTACATGGTATTGTATCCCAGGAGATACAAGGGGTTAACAGAGCCCATAGTGACCTGGACGTCGTGACAGTACAGATATACTCGTGCTAAAACTACGGTGCAACAAACTTAGCGCATACGTAAAAAACCCGACCGCTACCTAGTCGAAGAGGCGGTCCTACATGTCGAGGAGAGAACAGACATCTTGGTCATGGATCGCGACGAGATCTGAAGCCAGGAACGACTGTGTTGGCGAAGACCAGCAGTAATTTAACCGACCGATATCGCAGTACATAGAACTGTTTATAACCACCGGTGTGAGAACCTCAAATCCGGTGTCCATCATTTCCCTGATTAGTAACTTCGCTATCTGTAAAACAAGCCGGTTCCAGATTTGGCAGTTGGAAATGGGTGTATGAACGGTCCCCACGTTCGTGTGGCCACGCGGGGCTCTGTCCCCACGTTGCCTTATACACGCACGGACGCAGAAAGAATAGCACTCGTGAGGTCTTGCATGGACTTAGTGGGCATGCTCGGCTTTGCTTGGAGACTCTCTTGTACAAATTTGGCGCTCAGTTTTCCCCTCTCAGGACGTGTTTAGATGCTTATAGCGGGTATGAACCCAGCGTCATTCTTCTTTGGATTAGCTAATATAAAGTCCGTCAATTCTACGAGCAGTGGTACGCCACACCTTGTATAGGGAACTTTACGGTTTAAATATCCTGTGTACATATTTTAAAATATCCCACCGGCATACGAACACCGGAAGTATGTTGAAAATAGGATACAGTAAATTTTTAACGATGATATAATTATCTGCGTCACTGACGGCCTAGCAGCTTCAGTCTTATACGAGTAGTAGTTCTTTATTAAACACTGCCAGAAATGCCCCGTGTTCTTCCGGGGTGTAGTTACTTTCCTTGTTGGTACCCATGTTTATTTAACCACCACGTCATGAAGATGTATGGGAGAATGGAGGTATAACTCCAGTATTAGATGAAGGTAAGTGGAGGTCAGTTTCACCCACCGCTGACCGCTCACCTCCATCTAGTGTCGAGGGCTAGAGTGGTGGAGCTACACATCCACTCCCCCATATAGTGCTTAAGTACATAATTAAATTAAAAGAATCGCTTAGTGGGGGGTGGAGTCCAACTGGGTCCACTCGGCACGGCGGCCACTGATTGTCCTATTATAGCCTGCCCCGGGTGATTATGATGATGGAGAATTTGGTGGAATGAAGATTGGCAGGGGAAACCGAAGTACCCGGAGGAAATCCGCCCCAGCGCCACTTTGGCCACCACAAATCCCACTTGAGCAGACCCAGGATCGAACCCGGGCCGCCGCGGTGGGAAGCCAGCGACTACCCGCTTGAGCTATGGCGCGATAACTTTATATATTTTTTCACTGGCTCTAGAGCCCCCATTGGCTCTGATTTTTAGTTTCATTATCATTTTGCAGACGGTAGGTCTCCTTGGACGAGTGATCGGCTTGTCATAAACACAGGGCAACACAAACACAGATTAAACTTACATATACCAAACATCCGTGCCTAATGTGTGATTCGAACCCAGATCCCGGCTTCCGAGCGAGCGAAAACAGTACATGGCTTAGACCGCTTGGCTACCGTGACCGGCTAACTTTATCTTATTTTAAATATTTTATGTCTGACTTTCATGATGTAATTGCGATGAAACGTAATTCGTGCCCCCCTCTGCGGCTCCATTTATGTGTTACCACCTGTAACTCAGACTGTATAGCGTCGATTGGTAAGATGGTCCGTTAATAATGAATGGCAGAGAATGTAGAAAGAAGCGATTGTGGCCTGATTTGAAATGCTGTGTTTGGAATTCCCTGAGGGACTGAGGGAAACCAGATGAAACTGCAATCGGGGTGGCTGATTTCTTGGCGGAGAATTTAATTTGTGACCTCCAGAATATAAAGCAAGAGTTCCCCTCATCAGTGCAATTGTGTCTACAGTGAAAGAAAATCAAGACCAGTGCATACGCGTCCCGAGGTAACTAGGCTAATGTACCCTGGATCGCGGTTTGAAAGCAGCTGCACCGAGAGTCGAACAGACTAGGTTTTTCCTGAGCTCCTTCCTTCGCTTGAGAACGGATTAAGAACCAGTTTATGAACTGTAGTGGTTACAAACTCAAACGATGGAAAAGTCCAAAGTGATAATAGTTTTAAGCAATATGTCGCACCAGTGTCGATTTCCCGAATCTTGTTTCTTATATAAGAAACTTCGTATGAAGCAGCGGTGGGCAGCCAAGCTTCAATACAAAGAAACGACATAACTGATGCAGTGCAGGATGCCGGAACGGGCTAAAGCCAGCTGCACCATGATATAAGCTTCCCAGTGCCTGTATACAGCCTTGCTCAGTTTCGGAAGTAGCGCAGTTCCCTGTTTCAGTTATCATACGATAAAACAGTTGAACTTGAGGTTCTCACAGCAGTGGTTATGAATATTTATATGTTCTGGAATATAATGCGGTGTAGAGCCGCCTCTGTGATCTAGTGATCAGAGGTCCTGGCCTACGGATCCAGAGGTCCCTGTCTCGATTTCCGGTGCTACCAGATTTTCTGAGAAGTAATGGGTCTGGAACGGGTCCACTGAGCCTCGTAAAGATAATTGTGGAGCTGTTTCAAGGAAATGGCGGCTCCGGTCTAGAAAACCGAGATTAACGACTGCGGGGATCCTTTGCGCTGACCACGTGACACTTTCTATCCGCTAAAGTTGGCACTAACTTCGCCGACAAGAGGCGGTCGCTCGGTCGGTATAGTTCGCTTGAGGACTAAAAGCCAGGGAGATTTTTGCTAATATCGTGTAGTCCGTTGAAAGTAACCCGACGTTTCGGAGGAACTTGCTGTCTTCGTCTTCAGGACCGGAGGATAAGCCAAGCAAGGAAGCACTATTAAGCAGGTAACAAGTTCTGCTTGTTGGTTTCTTGCTTGACTCTGAAGATACAGTGACATGTTTCTGCGAAACTTCAGTTCATTTTCAAGGGATTGCACGGTGTTATTATATCCCAGAAGATACAACTCTTCAAATACAGTTAAGC